TGGTTGTTGATCTCCAGCAGGTTAGAGGGTAGTGAAGGAAGGGGTGGAGCGGAAAAGTCAGAAGATTTTGATGAGCTGGCCATTGTAGTGAGCTTAGGAAGACAAAAAGGGAAGAGTTAATGGATGAGGTAACAGGGACGAAGGCAGGAGCTCAAGGGAGAAGATGAGATTGCAAAGAGGGTGATAGTTCGCGTAAAGACCAGAGTAAAGATCAAGGAAAGGTTAAAGGGAAATCGTCTAGGGAGTTGGAAACGACGGAAGGGAAAGGTAATTAATGTAACTTGTACTGAAAGGCAACAGACTGACGAGACGGCGACGTAAAGTGGAAAAGAAACCTAAAACCCTTTTTAACCCTAGAACCCCAGAAACCCTAAACCCTAAATCCTGTGGGCTTTCAAACACTAAGGCGGGAATATTGAAAGAATATAAAACAGAAATCATTTATATTCTTCCAAGGGGGCATTTTGTTAGTGGCAAATCGAGAAAAGCGATCGAAATCGAAGGGAAGAAATATGACTCGATAAGATAAACAAAAAATTCATTCGATGTCTAAATTAGAAATACGTAGCATATAGCATCGAGAAACACAATCGAGAATCGAATGAATTATAATCAAATGACTGTTGTCGAATAAAAACTAAGTCATATAAGACCAGGGTTAAAAAGGAATCGTAAGCAATTCGAAGTTCTTGAAAAAATACAGAATCGAGAGTAAAGAAAGCCAATGTGGACATCGAGACTTTGGCCAAATTGTGAAAGGAAGTAAGTCGAAATGCACATATAAAGAGCAGTTTTGAAATCATGGAAAAAGTCGAAGATCGTGAGAACGTGGGAAACTATAGAAGATAAACTGTCATACGCACGTAGAACGTGGTAGTAGTCGCGTTAACTGCTCCCGGAAGGCTTGAAGGATGCCCTATAAATAGAGCAAAGGAGGAAGGAACAGGGGAGGGGAAATTGGCAGAGAACAGGATCAGTAGTGAAAAGTCTACCGGAGAAACGACGAACACCATGAAGTTTACGGCAATCTGGATTTCCTTGCTCACGGAGTACATTTACCGCTTTCGTATTTTCCTTGGTAATTTATTTTGATGCAACTTAAATTCAGCAATTTTATGTTTCTGTATTTTCAATTCCTTGTCCATTTCAATTCAATGAAAATTTGAGTTTCTGCATTTAGATTTCCTGTTATTTAACATTCTGCAAATCTCAATTTCCTGTCATTTACTTTTCTTGCAATCTCGATTTCTTGTCATTTATATTTGCGTTGTTTTCGATTTCTCGCTATTTATAATTAATGCAAGTTTGGGGTTCTCGCATTTTACATTTCCTCGCAATTTAATATTCTACTTTTCGATTCGATAGTCTTAATGCTTTCGATACTTTAAATACAAAACACCAAAAACAGCATTTTCGATATCCTGGAGTTTTCGGTTCTCATACACGTTTTCGATTGAAAATCAAATTGCTAGCCTAAGTAAAAAGAGCTTACGTGGTAGAATTTTGATTAGGACCAAAACACCCTTAGAATCGAAATCGATCGAAATTCCACCAGAAACACTTGGTTATTGAATGTGTATACATAAAATAACCAAACTATTTTACTTAGCATCTAATCCCCGTTTTATTAAAATATGCGACATTGGTCTATGATGTGAATGAGTCCTTGTTAAGTAATAATTAATGTATTTAGTTAATGATAGTTAAAATCTTTATATATTTACATGTACATGTTTATTTTTAATGACGAAATGTGACAAGTTTGTTAGCCTAGTCAAGAAAAAATTTCCTCATTTATGTATTGTCAACCTTCCATCACCCATAAAAATATTTTGAATAATGATTGCCAACAATAATTTGGCTGGTTCCAACATATCAAACCCTAGCTAATGTTAATGTTGACATTGGATAGTTCTAAAACCCTAGCTAGTAGAAGATTTTGGTGATCATCACGTATATATGAAATCAAAATGAGACTTGTAGGTTCATCATAGTGGCTAAAAGACAAAGACTATAGTGTGTTTATCTATCTATTTTAAACAAAATTAAGAGAATGAAAGAAGAATCAATTTATAATGTATATTAATAACACTTGAAGAATAAAATTGGCAAAAAAATGTATTTCCAAAGTTGGTTTCTTCATATTGTTAAACATGGGAACAATTAATTTATAAAGTGACATTACTTTTAAAATAAAAATTAGGGAGTGTGAGCGTAGATTAAAGTTAATATTTTGTACACATTATTATACATAGAATATAATATTTTCCACGTGACCAATTTTTGCTAAACTTGTCTTGGACATTAAAGTTGTCACATGACCATCTTTTTAAAGCTTCAACATGGCTTGAATTCATCTTACATGTATACATAGTGATGATATAGTTTTTTTTTTTAATTACATTATCATTTGACATAATTTATTCGTGACAGAATTAAATTTACATATTTTATGATATCTGAAATCATGAAAATAATGGATTCCAAAATGATGAAATTTTGTTTAGATGATTAAAATAATTTTGAAAATATTTATATATACATTTATTGAAACAAAAATAATGTCTAATTTTTACTAAAATATCGAACTTATTATAATATTAAATAATTTAATAATAGTAGCATCATATTTTTTAATAACAAATTTATTTAAATTCCTAACTTCCCATACAAATAATTTTGTGGCAAATTTGATAAAACAAAAACTATTAAAAGTAAACTTCTTCTTCTTTTTTTTTTTCAAATGTATAGTTTTGAAACTTTAAAATTCCAGAAACAAAAAATCCATTACACCAAATACATATCAATAATGTTACCCCTTATCTTAATATATTTCATTTTTACTTAGTTTAACTGTTTTAATGAGTCATTAAAGTTTAAGCATTGTAATTAAAAAAAGTGAAAGTAAAAAATAACAATTTATCTTTACAAAATTCTAAAATGAATAGATAGAGATTGAGAGAAAATTCATTAAACTTGCACTAAAAAAACATTACATTGTATCATTTGAGCCAAAAAAGAAAAGAAAAAAAAAAAACAGAAAGAAAAAAGTCTTGTGAGATTGAAGTTGATTAACGTGACCTTTTGCCTCTGATCATTACAAACCAACACAATATACTATTATACACATTATGGTCCCCATTACTATCATTCCAATGCCCAAAAGTCAATATAATCCAACCCTAATTATTATTATTTATTTTTTTAAAAAATGATTAAGGCATTATTTTAACCAGTTATATTAATTCGAATCTCTTCCCATCCTTCTACCATAATAGAAGATTAATCATCCAGTCTCCTTCCCTTAAAAATAAGAAAAAAAAAGAGTTTTTGTCATGTGATTATTATTATTCTTTTTTAAATCTAGCTTTGATCTTCATATTTTAAATTGATAAATTTAATCTTTTCACAGTTAATGTAATTATAATTTTTATTTATATAAATTGTTGATATGTAATAGTTTTTATCATAAAATTAATAAAAAAAACTAAACTCAGTCGTGTGTGTGATTTTAATTATATATATATATATATATATATATATATATATATATATATATATATATATATATATATATAAAGGGTAATAATAATATATAAGGGTTGTCAAATTTATTGCCACTTAATGGAGTTGTTTCAACCAATAATTGTTAATTGAATTATTTATGCAATAATAAAAAAGAGAAGTACAGTTTTCACGAGAAATAAGCCACGCCATTCAATAATTAAACTTTATTTTTTTCTTTTAAATTATGCGAAATTCTTTGATAAAAGAGATAGATACAAAATTTATCATTAGAAATTTGCATTCTAATATTATTTTTTATGATTTAACTTTATTGTTAGAAACTATTTTTATAAATTGTTTTTTTTTATGATAATAATAATATTTAATTATGTAACCAAAATGTGAATATATAAATACAACAATTCCTATATTTATACTAATATATATATATATATATATATATATATATATATATATTTAAATTTATGACATAAACATTAAATATATATTTTTTATTATCTCTTTTTATCTTTTTTATTTGTGTAAATTATAAGTCTTCTTCGATTAAAAAAACATTTTAATAATATTATAATTGTATATAGTTTAACAGTCTGTCTATAAGTCATTTTATTTCTATTTTATTAATTTATATATTTAAAATATTTATTAAATTTACACTTACATAAAATAAAGTGTTATTGTTTTTTAAATTATTTTTTGAAATATTTTTATATACATTTTTATTTTGATAATTACCTTTTTTATTTTATTTTTGCTCTGCATTTCAAAAAGTCAAAATCAATTAATCATGATAATACCAATATTCAGTAGAATTTCATAAAAAATAAAATTGAAATAATAATCATAAAGAATATTTTTCTATCATTTTCATTCAAGACATGATTTTTCTATAATTTAACAAGTTACCTTGAACGTATTCAGTTTTCATTAATTTTTTTAATTCTTAGCTATATTTTTAATTTATCTTATTCAATATGGACTAAAAAAAAATCAAAATTAAAAGAATTAAAAAAAAGGAAAAAGAAAATATACGTGAGTGTATTTGCAAGGAAAAAGAGAGAAACAAAACGAGCTCTTTAATTAATTTTACCAAATAATATTCTTAATTTAATGGGAAGATTTGAAGAAAGGAAAAATGAAAAGAGAGGAGAAAGATAAACAATGGGTAAAATATTTCTTTAATATTTATTTTTATTTACCCAAAAAATAAGTTTGTAATAATTTATTTCCTTTATTGGACAACACGGTAAAGAAAATAATAAATAGTTTCCAAAATATGGAATATACAATAATGTGATAAGGCGATTCGTGCTTGCCAGCTTTACTCGGCAATGGTGGCAACATATATAGGCATCAACCCATAAAATAATTTTACGAAAAATTAAAAATTGACGAAAAGAGAGTTCATTGCACGCCCTTTTTGCTTTCTGGGTTGGAAGAATTGTTTGAGGAAATATTGATTCACAAGAAAGATGGTGTTGGATCCAAGGCTGGTGCTGGTGGTGTTCATCAGCACCTGCATTTTGGCCATCAATGGTGACACAGATCCAAATGACGGTTAGTGTGTTCTTTGATCTCACTCTCAGCTTTACACTTTTCATCACTCTCTATGTGTGTTGCATTGCGCGAATGCTACTTGAGAATACTTCTTTCTCTGTCTCTTCCCTTTTTGCTTAGATGTTTTTGTTTGATTGCCAATTAAGTTGTTTGGACAACTCTGCCACTTCCTTAGCAGATACGTTTAATTTGGCCTATGTTTTGTGTTTGGTTTTATTGGATTTTGACCTATTGTGAAATTTTCCAGCTGATCTCTTGAGTGACACTTGTTTAGTTTAGTTACCCAGTGATTTCAGCAAATGAAGGACTTTAAAAAAAAAAAAAATCTCCTTTTGTTTTCAGCTGTGTATGAGGTATGTGTTCTGTCTGTATGTAGCCGGTTGATGCAATTCTCGCTTCTTTACTGTATTGAATGTTGTCAAATAATAAGGATTGATTGCACATCAGGAATTGGATGTAATAGAACAGTTGCTATTTTCTTCTTAATGTAAAGTTGAACGAATTCCCAAGTTTGAAAAAAGGAAATACCAGTTAGAATAATATCCACTCAACCTGCACTAAAACAAATTGTAACAGCTGAGTGGGACCCTTAATCTTCTTCCACTTTAGTTCTCTACCATGTAATTATTGTTTTCGAAATTTTTTTATTTTCTGTTTGCTGTTCAGATTTTCCGTCTTTTACTATGATGTTTAATGTATTGAAACCTAGAAATTCTATGAGAGGATTCAGCTACAAATATTGCGGTTCAATGTTGCTTCTGATCTCCATAAAGGAGTATGTATCAATCTTAATAAAGTACTTGGACCTCGTGTTACTCACATCTTGGGCTGTTAAAAGCTCACCACTCCATCGCTGCTCTTCATCCTTTGTAGTAGGTTTCAGCATTCACATGTATCATGAGTTTGACTGCTTTATTACCAATAACGGTAACCAGGAACCATGTTGGCTGCATATCTGCTTAATTCCGTAATCCTGCTCAACTTTGTTTTGGACTTTATACAATGAATTTTTACATACCATATTTCTATGTGAGATTTTGAATTATTACGTATTGATTGAAACAAAGCCACTAGTATGCTGGATTCTATCTTGAGCTATATGCAATATCTGATATACCAATCACTAAAGTCTCATGGGTCCAGTTATCTATGTAAGGTTTGAGAATGCTTGCATGGGATAAATAAGCTTGTCTTACTGGTTTTTGCATCTTATTATTCTTGTCTGACGCAATCCTACACATATATTTATTCTTCTTTTCTTATCCACCTCCACGTGCTGCACAAGCAACTTGTTCTGCCTTATGTCACTTAGAAATATATAAAAATGTTTGCATGGTGAAAATCTGATGTTAAATTTCTACTAAACCTCCAATGATGAACTTTGTAAATTTAAACTTGTGATGGTTTGATATCCTTGCATAATTACTCTGATTTGGTTAGTGTTGCGGTGATATGATTATGTGAGAATGTTTTCTTCATTTTCTCTGTAGTCAGTTATATTCATTTTTGTGTACTCCCGTTCACCCATTTGTTTAATATCATATCATGTATTTCGGCCCAAGAGACAGTAATGCATCATTTTATGAATCCTCAATGAATCTGAATTTCTTTATGTTATTTTTTTCTTGATGCTTAATGGATTAAAGTCAGCATCACGAATAATCAATTCTTCAGTGTGAACATTTTTCTGAATTCGGGCGGAGAATATCGATGATTAATTTTTCCCTTGTGCTTAGATGTTAGAAGTGATATATTTATAAATGCAATCAGAATAGGTTCAATAGTTTGTAAGTACTGTCCATATCTTAACATATGTATAAAGGATGGTGGTGCAGACACCACCCTAATAGAAATTTATCATACAACTTTCTTTTTACATGTCCGAGGCTTGCCAACTATCTTTTTCTGAATGTTTGATGCAGTTGCTTCTCTAAAGGCTATGTTTCAAAGTATGGGCTCATCATCCCAGCTAAATTGGAATGGGGATGATCCTTGTGGACAGTCTTGGCAAGGCATCACTTGCTCTGGAAATCGAGTCACAGAGATGTGAAGTCCAAATCTCCCTTTCCCTTTACATGAGTTGACTGTTATTGCTTTTGGTGCTGTGGTGTCTGATTGATTATTCATTTATTTATCAATTTTATCAGCAAGTTACCTGGTCGTTCACTTTCCGGATCTTTGGGTTACCAACTACCCTTCTCATCGGTTACAAACCTGTAAGTTATTCATCATTTAACCAGTTTTATACGAATAGTGGTTACTATTATTGTGACCTTGAAAATTCTGCAGAGACTTGAGTAACAATAATCTTGGTGGCACCATACCATACCAACTTCCTCCTAATATCCAGTACCTGTATGTTTCTATTATCTTTTATCACTTCATTTGGTTTATTGTTGTTTTCATTTTATAATTATTTGTTTCTAACCATGTTGCTTTGGATGCAGAAATCTTGCTAATAATAATTTCAATGGGACCATCCCTTATTCTGTCTCTAACAAGACTTCGCTTGTAGTCCTGTATGTAAATCACCTTGACTTCTTGTCTGCTTTTTATTGTATAAACCTCCGCAAGCAACTGGAGTCATTTTTTTAAAGTTAACCTTTTTAATGTAGGAATCTTGGTCACAATCAGCTCCAGCAAGCACTCAACGTTGATTTTCAAAAGCTTTCTTCCCTATCTACATTGTAAGATTTCTTATCTGTCCTGCACTTCAACAATATAAAACTATAGATGTCTATCAAGTTTATGTTGACTAAAAATTGATCGTTTTCATTTTCGTTCTGAGATTTTATGCTTTTTGTTATGAATTATTTTCATGTTGCATTAAGTAATTTCACAATATTACTTTCGACCTCATGATTAAGAGAATTTGTGCTATTCCTCTGCAAACAATTATCCTTATATATTGATGATTGCATTGTATTCCACATGTGCTTCTAGTAATTTGAAAAATCCTTGCATATGTCATAGGTAACAATAGAGGCTATGTTTGTTTCATTTTCGAAGTAAGTATGATAGAATTTGGTTCTGTCACAATTCAGGGCCAAGTTATAATATTTATTATTTATTGCAGGGATCTCTCGTTCAATTCTTTGACTGGTGACCTGCCTCAAACATTGAGCTCACTTTCTAGCATAAGCACCATGTAAATGTCTAACCTTTCTTTTTCTTTTTTCATTTTTCTGCTAATATTTACATGATGTAGATTGTATTCTAAGTTGAATTATTTACATTTATGTAGGTATCTTCAAAACAACCAGTTTACAGGAACCATTAATGTCCTTGCTAATCTGCCACTTGAAACTCTGTATATTTCTGTTTCATATAACAGCTTTGGACTGTTCTTTCCTATATTTCAATAGAAGTATATTTTCGGTCGAATTTATGTTCTTAAACTTATCTCAGGAATGTGGGAAACAATCATTTTACAGGCTGGATACCAGAACAGTTGAATAACATAAACGTGCAGTAAGCATTGCCATTATCAACAATTTTTGTAAGAATCAATTTTTTGTCATAAACTCTATAAATCTTGAAAATGGTCAAATCTAATGACAGAAAGGATGGTAATAATTGGAGCTCGGGACCTGCACCCCCACCTCCCCCTGGAACACCTCCAGTAGTAACTAGAAATCGAAATCATAAGTCTGGTGGACATACCCCATCAGATGATGGCTCAAGCGATGATGCAGGCAAAAAGTCTGGTATTGGAGGTGGTGGCATTGCTGGAATAGTGATCTCCATCTTGGTTGTTGGGGCAATAGTAGCATTCTTTCTGGTGAAGAAAAGATCAAAAAAGTTTAATGACATTGAAAAGCTTGACAATCAACCCTTGGCTCCTCGTACGCAAAATTTGCATGGTCTGCACTTTATTCATGCATACTATTGAAAATTCATTTTTATTCTTGCCTACTATTGAAAAATCTTTTTATTCTTGCATACCATTGAAAAATCATTTTTATTCTTTTATGTGAGGTCTCCCTTGTTTTAGATCACTTGTATGTATTGTATTCACAGTTTTTTTAAGGCCACCTTCTCTTTTAGATCACTTGCTTAACTATGAAATATTTTTCTGCTTTTGATAAATGAATTTTTCGATTCACCCTACAGTGTTGGCGGATAATATGTTTTTTAACAGTAAGCCAAGTTGGTAGCAATTGCTTCTCTTTTTTCAGCGACTGATGCATGCTTGGCACCATGGATGTGACTATACTAGAGATAGCTTATTTTTGCCAAACTGCAACTCTAATTAGAAAATGACTGGGCTATCTATATTTTTCTTTCTCCTGGTCGATATGACTGCCTTGTCTTAATGTTTTCATTTTTTATTTTTAGTCATTAAGTTATTCCTCAATCATTATGTTTTGGTTGAAAATTACATATTTATCTGTCATAATGCAGAAATGAATTCCACGCAAACTTCATCTGTAATTGACTTGAAGACATTTGATACACCTGCGGCACCAATAAGTCTTAAACCTCCACCTTTTGATCGTCATAAATCATTTGACGAGGATGAGTTTTCAAAGAAGTCCACTGCAGTCAATAAGCCCACTACAGTCAAAAAGACTGTCACTGCTCCTACAAATGTAAAATCTTATTCCATAGCTGACCTGCAGATTGCTACTGGAAGCTTCAGTGTGGATCAACTTCTTGGTGAGGGGTCTTTTGGACGTGTATACCGTGCTCAATTTGATGATGGAAAGGTATTCCTTACCTCTATTTTACTACAAATGCATATCCAATGCTAGTGGCGGAGATATATAATTCCAAAATAGCATCATCGTATTACATAATTTTCCTAAGAGTGGGTCAAATCTAAGTAGTTTCAGTATAAAAGCTTGTGAATGTATGTGTTTTTGATGCATCTAGAAAGTCCTCTGGTTTTACAAGTATAAAATAAATAAGTCTGACATATAGATGCCATATGTTCAGCCAACATAGGCCCCAATAAATAAATACCATGGATTTTATGTAGTAGACTATGTTTAGAATCTATGAATAATCTTATTGATGGTCTTTATTTTGTTTTTCTTCTGAAATGTTGTAGGTTCTTGCTGTCAAAAAGATAGATTCATCTGTCCTTCCCAATGATTTATTTGATGATTTTGTTGAACTGGTTTCGAGCATATCCCATATGCATCATCCCAATGTGACAGAGCTTGTAGGTTATTGTTCAGAGCACGGACAACACCTACTAGTGTATGAGTTTCATAAAAATGGATCACTACATGACTTCCTTCATCTACCTGACGAGTATAGTAAACCATTGATATGGAATTCACGTGTGAAGATTGCTTTGGGGATTGCACGCGCTCTAGAGTGAGTTAGTTATTTGTTAATTTATAGTTTCATGACTGAATCCTGTTTTTTACTTATTATCTCCTCTTTCTTTCATATCTTTCTTCCTGCTCCATGTACTTAATAGCTCATCTGTGTCTGGTTTGAGTTTTTTTTTTTTCCTTTTTCATTTGTTTTGTGCATTGTCTCCTTGTAATAGATCTTTGTAACCATCTCTTCGTTTTTTAAGAGGTTAAAATGTTTAGATTATTACTGTCAAGAACCAAATATCCTAAAAGCTTTAGTAGTTAGGTGAAGGCTTATGCATGCTTTTATATTTTCATGTTCTGTTGTACTGGAGCCTTTTTGTGCTAAAAGTGTGGACTAACATATCAAACTATCTTGGGATAAATTTCAACTTTATTTATAAGAATAGGGGCGGCAAGGATTAAACTCTTGTTCATTTGGTTATATAGACTACAGTATGTTGACAATAACTGGCTATTATAAAAACTTTAGTTTTTATATGAAATCTTATGAGTGGCTTTATATCTAAAAATTACTAAATCTAATGTTCAAATTTGATAATGAAAAAAGTAGGATTAATAGATTGAGATTATACAATTTATCTGAAAATTAAATTTTGATACACTATCAGATCTTAAGGCAACATACTATCAGCCAATAAGAAACTGATGCTTTGCTGTAGAAGCATAGGACTTTTACTGCCGCATTGCTGAGAAATTAAGGAATTTACTATTAAATTTAAACAGATCTGATACAAGACAACGTAGGGTTGGACTTCAAGCATCAATGTAAATTTTTGCCCCGACAATCTAACTCTAGTTGCTTTTCTCCTAGGTACCTACATGAAGTTTGTTCACCATCTGTTGTTCATAAGAATATAAAGTCAGCCAACATATTGCTTGATACAGATCTCAATCCTCATCTTTCCGATACTGGATTGGCAAGCTATATTCCAAATGCAAATCAGGTGATTTTAGTTTTTTGGTACTTCATGGTTTATGCTATGAATTAATGTGTTTAGAATTGGACATTATGGTGTTTTGCCAGGGTAGTTTACTGTTTTTGTTGCTACTTTTCTCATTTTTAGGTTTAACTTCTCATTCCATTTTTCAGTTTTGAAGTACTTGTTTTTACTTGAAACACTAATTCGTTAGTTGAGATTGCCATGTATCATCATTCTCAAGTTGTAACAATTAGGGAAAGAGGGAATGGTTGGACGTATAAAATAGCTTACACGATTAACCATTGGCTTTAATTGCCTAGCCTGTTACCGAGACTCATCTCTTCTAAATGCTTAAGCTTGGAAAGTATTAGAAGTTCTAATCTATGTCTCTCATGTTCAGGTATTGAACAATGATTCTGCCTCTGGATATGAAGCTCCCGAAGTTGGCATGTCTGGGCAATATACTCTTAAGAGTGATATATTTAGTTTTGGAGTTATCATGTTGGAACTTCTTAGTGGACGGAAACCATTTGATAGGTGAAAGATTGATATACCTTTTAACATAAGAGTTTTTACATGTAAATACTTTCAAACATAATGGACTCATGCATAGTTGTTAAATCGAATCTTTACAGCTCAAAGCCAAGGTCTGAGCAGGCTTTGGCTCGATGGGCAACGCCTCAACTCCACGATATCGATGCTCTGGCTAAAATGGTTGATCCTGCATTGGAAGGACTATACCCTGTGAAGTCTCTTTCTCGATTTGCAGATGTTATTGCTCTTTGTGTTCAGGTAATTTCAGTCTTGTTTCATCCTATGTTTTTCTTGTTTCAGTGAGTAGGAAGTGAGTCATTGTTTTGGGGATCTATTTGAGCTGTTACACAATAATTGTAGCTCAAGCAATGGGGGTGCCCTTGAGGATGAAGAACATTGAAATGTATGAGTTTAATAGGCACATAGTATAGTGTAAAATTTTTTACATTTAACCAATTAGAAACTATTATTTGTCCTACAACTGTTGTTATAAAAGTCAAAAAACATACATACATGATAGTTTGTGATTACACTACAGAGTGAAATCTTTTTACACTACCATTGCATAGATTGGTTACTCTCCATGTATTCTGATTTTACTTTTTGGGGGTAGCCGGAGCCGGAATTCCGACCACCTATGTCAGAAGTGGTTCAAGCGCTGGTTCGATTAGTGCAGCGAACTAATATGAGTAAGAGGACGTTTGGAGCTGATCAAGGAGGATCCAACCGAGGGGGAGATAATCAAGAATCACAAGACATGTAAATGGAAACAAAAGCCTTGTGTTGATAGAATGGCAGAAAAGAAAAAAATAAATATTCTTCAGATTTTCATCATTTCTTTTTAACCCCCTTCAGCCAGTTTTTGTTTTAAGTTAGATGAATTCAACCTTTGATTATTGAAGATGTTGGTATATGTTTCTGAGCTATTCCTTCATCGGTGGTAGAAATTTCAATAATTTATCCTTTTGCAAGATTGAAGCTCGGGTAAAAGTTGATGGTTGCCATCGTGTTGTAACAAGTAGGAATTATAAGAAGCTTTTCACCATGTTTTGTGATTGTATGGTTCCATATAAGAAGCTTTTCAAAACACCAGTGACGTTAAGTAACTGTGAGGGAGTGGAAATGAGTAGCTTAAAAGGAAAAAAAAAGAGGTAAAAATAGGATTATGTGTGATGTAATTGATTTAACAGATTAAAAAAATATTTTAAAACAAAATATAATTTATATAAATAATATTAAGATTAGATGCGAGTTATTATTTAAAATATAAAAGTTTAAATATATTAAAATAAAATATAATTTGGAATAAATTTTAGATAAATTATATTAAATAAAATAAAATTGTAATTTTAATTGATAAAATTATTTTAAATTAAATTTAAATTGAAGTAAAATAATTGAAGTATTTACTAAAAAATATGTAATATTATGAAGAAATGATGAAAATAAATAACATGTAATTGTCCATGATAGAAATTAATTAAAGCAAATCAATTATCGAGTTAATTATTTTAAATTGTAATTTAATACAAATTTGTTTGATTAGTTAATTTAATTGTTTTGGTGTATGTCAATAATATTAAATAAATTATATAGAATGAATTTTGATAAAATAAATTGTTGACTAAATTCTAAAATTACAAAAAAGAAAATTAGAATTGAAAGTTAAAAGAAATAAATATTAAAAGTTGTTGTCCGAATTTACTAGTCACACGTCATACTATACATCAACAAAATAATAAATAAATAAAATCATAAAATTTATTGAAAAAAAGTCCTCAAAATCATCAAATTGTTCTTTAAAAAGAGTTAACTCTATATGTAACCTTCTTGAAATCTTTGTTAACAGTTAGGTTTAAATTAATCAAATCATTTTCCACTCATTGCATTCTTGTTTGCATGTCCTGAATTTTCTCTCCCTCCCCCCAAAATTTGTGTGAACATTTGACTATCATGGGGGAGTAAATGTGGCTAGACTAATTCAATATGGATAGGGTATTGTTCTCCATTGTTCGGTATTGCAAGATCTTCATCGTTATCATTTTTATCTTCCTGGTTGACCCTTCGATGTTGCTATACACCATTGACATAAAACAATATTTAATTTGTTCAGCATTCTTTTACTAAAGTAATGAGTCCAACCCAAAATGATTGAGGGATCCATTGTCAAATCCATGTCATAGTTAATCATTATGTATGTTATGAATATGACGTATGGAAGATATATGTTATTGTTCCTGCAATTCAACATGTGTTACATACTATAGTGCAACCAATTAATTAAAATATCATTTTTCAATACCCACAACATAAAGATATCTTCTTGTATCAATTTTGCAAAATTCATTGGCCAAGGAGTTAACATATGAACAAGGACATAATGCAGGAGTCTATCATTGATTTGCAGACTTCTTGCATTCCTTACGTTTTGACCTTGGACCTCTGGTTTGAGTATAAAATTCAACGTCATTTCTTGATTGTACTTCATGTCTTCAGAGATAACAGGAAATGACATCTTATGACCTTTATATTTAAGATTAGTCAAACTTAACAATCTACATAACTTATTTTCATTTCTTGATTCTCAAACCAGATCATCGTAGTATTTAGTATTTAGCATAAGGAAATGTGTCACACCTTGAAAATGTATATGATGATGGAAGTGCAACCCTGATTTGACAAAGAACAAGAAATTCATTATTTTGAGCTAAAAGCTTTCTTCTTGGTAAATAAGTTATTAAAATGTACCATTTGATCATGTATGCTGAACTAGTGAGTCAAATTTACATTCTCAACCTCCAATTGTTGTGTAGGAGGAACTGCATGATCAAATGCAATAACTTTTTTTTTTACCTTGTCATTTTGTTGTTTTTTACTCAAAGAAGAGAAAGTCATGCCTACAAAATCATCAACATTTGAAAACCGTGAATAAAAGGTGAAATACAACATAATACAATTAATCATAAATTGCATATGAAATAAATGAACACATAAATTTAAATTAAACTAGATGACATAAATATTATAATAATTGTCTTGTACATAGTATTACAATATTACATATTTAAATAACTACAACCCACTTAATTAGTTTTAAACCCTAAACATAATAGTATCATCGCTTTTCGGACATCATACTAATTAACTTGTTCAAACGACATTTTGCTGACATCCCAGATAGGCATTTAGTATGTGATGAGTTCGCATATAGAAAGTCGAAACACTAGTCCATTATTTATTCATCACTAGTATGCATATCAACTAACAATTATCATATATAAGTTTTAGAGTGTTGAAAGTTTGTTGTTCTGTAGTTCATTTTTGTTTTCTGCAACAATGACTTATCTTTTCACATATGTGACTAATCTTTCTAAGAAGTTGTTACCTCTGCTCATTGCTTCAACAACAACATCTAGTTTAATATTCAAATTATCAAATTGGATTTCCACGACATTTATCACCGAGGTTTTTTTCCTTTTTAGCCTCAAGAAGATGATGTACCACCCGATGTAATAGATAGAGTCGGTGTTGGATTATGTGAATCTACATATGAGGTGACTGAAGAACATCATTTGCTGTGCCAGGAAATGCGGCCTCCTTTGGGATATACTCCATATCATTTTTCAAATCTACCGTGTAAGTTTGTCTTTGTATGTGTTGGCGAATTTGACATGTCGTACGTACACCATGTCCAGTGGCACGATCAACACCCCATAGTTCTTCCATCAAATCATAGTATCTGATGGAAGTGACTTCCACTTAGCAATAAAAGGTTTTGCCTACAAATAAGGAACATAGATAATATATAAGAGATTGTGAATGTTTGAATGTTTATTATAATAAACCAAACTATATAGAACACATGTATCAGATCATCCTAAACTTCTGATTTATCCTCGAACAATCTTGTGGATTTACTTCATGCAAAGCTACTGAGTCCAGCAAAAGGTCATGAACCTCTCGCCACCTGTCTTTGAGGCTCTTCTACCTATTTTTGACATTATTTTTCATGATACCCACCAAGTCGAACTATCGGAGGGACTATAATATTATTATACACTTGTGTGGTCTAGCTACTATCAACTTGATTACCCAGACGGATCTCATCAACCATGGTTGCCATAACCGTAAGTTCATGTTCGCACTCCATTTAGTAAACTCCTAATTCCTACAAATGACTTAAGAACACTACTCTTACCTCTATTCATGGTTTACCTAATGAAAACACAATTTCTCCAAAAATTTTAACGATCATGTGTAAATATGGTTAGAAAATAAATTATTTAATAAGTCATTAAAATCTAACACAACATATTTATATATTAAAGTAACTAGTACAATATGTTAATTATTTTCATTGTCTCTCCACATATTGTTTGCAATAAAATCTTTAAGATTCGACTCTAGTCTATAATCATCATCTCGATCTTGAGTACCGAATGAGTGAACCTCTTGTTCCATCAACTCACAATCAACCTCAACTACCAAGTAGTGATCATTGTCTACTCCACGGAGATAGTTGTGAAGAATATAACATGCTAAGATAATTTGTGTCATCAACTCCAATGAATAATGTGGTTCACTTCCACTAGCTATGATCGGAAATCGTTTATTCAAAATATTAAATGTCCTTATAATAACATTTCAAAGTGATGCATGACAAATATTGAATTCTCTTGAATTTTGTGGACCTTTTTTAGTATACTCTCTTAGATGATATCTGAGTCACGATACAATGTTATTATATTTGATTTTAACATAAAGCTAATATCTCCAAGTTAATATTTTTTCTATAATTATTGTACTTAACATTATATTCAATAAGTTCTAAGTGACCGCAAGTCAAATCCAACAAATTCTATACAACTAACCTTGTGGAATAATCAATTGATCCTCTCGAATAAAGGCATCCTTTAAAATTTGTGAATTAAATGCAATTCTTTCCCACCCAGCTAAAACATATGTAAATTTGATGGTAAAATAACAAGTTGCAAATACGTTTTGCGTTGAGCAATCTTTTCTTCTCCAAAAATGAGAGACATATGCTTGTAGAGCCTAACACGTACATGAGTGTCATCTATTGTTCCTAAACAATCTTAAAGGGTAAAAAAATTGCAAATATGAATAATAAGTAATACATTATGCACGTTAAGTGATATTGGAGTTTGGACTATATTACCTTGAAGTAAGGGTAAAGTTGACTATTGTTTAGAACATGAGTTTGGACTTTAGTTCGAGATGGTTAAATTAATAATTCAGCCTTCAATATCAATATTATATGTAACACATTATGAAAATATCTAGAAACAGTTTCCCCAGACCGATGAAAAAAGAATGAAACACTTCTATTTTTTATGTTATGTCCAATAATGTGAAGAAATTTAGTTATTTGTTCTTAGATGGTTGATCAAAATACATCTTTTACCAACCCAGTTGTCTTTAATTGTTTGCATAACCTAATGAATATTTGAGGTCTCATCCGACTAATGTTATGAAATTATTCTGTGTGCACTAAGTACATTAACTCTTATCGACGATGTTCTTTTTTAGAAACAAATTCTGAAATATTTAGAGTTGAGAGACGTAATACATTTAGTGCATAAGTAACAATATAGATAATTATTACTGTTGTTTCTTCCTACAAAATTTTATTTATTGTTGTATGTATTAAATTAAAACGGCAGACAAAAACATCATTATCATAATCTTCATTAAAAAAGCACTTTGACCAACCATTCTCATGTGTGATTTTACAATTCATTT